TATTCCCTTCCTAGCTAATTTTGAGAAGCGGGGAAGAATGAAAACAGAATTCGTTCCAGTGAGCAACATCACTGGGTGCACCCCACATAAAATACAGTATTTTTCCTAGATCCAAAAAGTAACATTTCTTGTACAGGAAGACCCTAAAGATTTGATTACACATGCTTAATTGTTCCCTGTCAGCTAAAATACTGCAATATTTTGAAAGAACATATTCTTAAATACATCACACACACACACAGGGTAGAAACCCACCCTGTCAGTCTCTATCACTTTGCTTAGGTAAATTTTCTCTGTCCTTGTCAAAATAGGCTGTGTATATGTGCACAAGACAGAGCAGGTACTTGGCACAGCAATGTTTTCCATTTGGTGCTGAAACATGCCTCTGTTTAAGATGCATTATAAGAGCCTTGCTACTTCGTATGTTCTGAAGCAATCTCTGCAGAGCTTAACAGGGAGGTTCTGTACAGTAATTAGCTCTCAGAAGCACCACGACCGACACAATAAACAATATCTAAAGAGAAGCTGCAGCATAAGGAAGAAAATTAAAACCAAAGCTAAAAACGTTGAAATTATGGGGTTTGAGAGATATTTCACCCATCCCTTCCAGGTGGATGTATTTCATGTATTTCTAAGAACATCTAAATTCTTTCCCTGGATCATTAATCCCAAGACTGTTGAAGAGAAGTAGAGAGCTGACCTGGAGGTGATGGGGAAGATTGCGTGGGTAAGCCACTGAATGACCAGAGAACTCAGCACTCAGAGATCTTGAGTGAATAAGACTGTTGTAGATATTTTTTTTTTTTTTAGGGGTTTCATAATTAAAAGCTAGCTACTCTCTTTGCTTCAAGTTTGGAAAGAGGAGCCAGTAACCAAGCACGAACCATGAAGACACAGAAGAAATTGAGATGGGTATGTAATTCAGGAGATGGTAACCAAAAGTGGAAGACTGGAGCTTTGACCTCGGGAAGTAAAGGAAGAACGATTTGATTGTAGAAACACTGGCAAGGGAAGGAAGGTCACATATGCACAAGCTACACCTGGTTTCTCAGAATAATGCAGTAGAGTCCTCGAGGATGAAAACAGAGGCAGCTAGGACAACAAGACTCTGTGGAACCGGCAAAACAGCCGCTGAATGCCTTTCCCAGAAACAAGAGAGATGGGAAGAAAGGCCAATGCAATTGTTCCACCGTGTGCTGCAGATTACTAAATCTAAGCACTTAATTTGCAAAGGAGCATAGTATTACAATGACTGTATTGATTACCATGAAGTGTGTGACATCTGAATGGGCTTGACAGGAAAGGGAAAACTGTACTCTGTAATTTAGAAACCTAAAGCTACTTATTTCTCCTAGAAACACGCGTTTTATTCAATTAGTTTTCTCCATTACTTATTTATGGTCAATGTGTGAAACATCCATGGTGCCAACAAGAAAGACATACTTGAAACCCCCCAATAAATTAGATTTGTCCTACAAGTCTCTGTCTATATCTATATAATTTATTGACATCTATGTAACTCATAACACAGGAAATGAATGACCAAATTAAAAGCAATTTTATAATCAAAACCTAAATTTCCATTCTTGATTTATTTCCAATTTGTTATTTTAAGGAAACTTCTAGAAGCATGTATAACTAGAACTCAGCAGATGCCCTGGGAAATTCAGAGGCATTGTGTATGAGGACTTAATCAATGCTGCATAATGTCACTGACTTTTCAAATAAGGAGAGTGAAAGCCCAGTGTGTTACTGTGACTCCGACATGAGGGTTTGGGGAAGGTTCATAGTGCCAGACATTGTCTGTCGCTACTCTGCGGGGAGTTTACTGACACTCCCAGAAAACCATCTCAGGGAAAAAAAAAAAATCCATCTGGACTCTGTTTCTCTCTCTCCTCCTCTCCCTCCCCCACTCCTGTCTCAACAAGGCTTTATTAATAGCCCTACTCCACTTGGAGCCGACAAGCCTGCTTCTGCCTCTGGAGTGCTAGGAACACGGGTGTGTGTCACCGAGCCCAGCAGCAAAGCTTATCATTAACAATCCTTTCTCTCCTCTTTGGACCACCCTTCTCCAGCAAGGAAGGTTTCTCTGATGCTCCCACCCAAAGCCACCGAGACAGTTCTGCCACATTTCCCCCACAAGGGAATTTATCCTTGGAAACAAATGTGTTAAAAAGAAAGATTCCTAGTATGAGTGAAATTTTTGGCACAGCTATCATTTTGGGCTAGTTAATTCAAGTTTGGGGATAATTAAACCTTAGACAAAGTATAATTTATGACTTTTTTAAACATAAAAATTAATGCTAGAAGAACTTCAGTGAAAACATAGAGACTTTCCCTCTCATATACTTTATAATATATCTATATATATTATATATATCTTTATAATATATCTCTAATGATATATATGCTGTCAGGTTTAGGCTTCATGTAACATGTGTTTCTGAGTACATATGTACTAAGTCCACTGTAGAATCCCGTTAGCTTCGCCTTCATTTGGAAGAGGGGATGATCACCAAATGCCATATGTTTACAACCAAAGGAAAGGCCAGACATTTTCTTTTTTCTTTTGTTTTTTTTTTTTTTTTGTTTTTTGAGACAGGGTTTCTCTGTGGTTTTGGAGCCTGTCCTGGAACTAGCTCTTGTAGACCAGGCTGGTCTCGAACTCACAGAGATCCGCCTGCCTCTGCCTCCCAAGTGCTGGGATTAAAGGTGTGCACCACCACCACCCGGCAAGGCCAGACATTTTCAACAGGAGAATGAAACCCTAAGGATGACACCTGCTGGCACGACACCCGCTGGCTTGTTCACACCTTCCCCTAAGCACAATGGTCACCAAGGGTGCTTTTCTCATTTCTATTTTTCTTGTTCTGCTTGCCAGAAAGTAGTGTGAAAAGATGCAGTGGGAACTCCTTCAGCCAATAGCCTTAAAAAGCCAGCCCACTTGGGCGTGGTCTCTTGTACTATAAATGCATATGTAAAGCCTGCACAGAGCTCCACAGGGTTCTCTCTCTCTCCCTCCCTCTCCGTCTCCCTCTCTCTCTCTGTCCTGCTGGATCTGGTTTCTGTTTCCTGCTCCTGCAGAAGACTGTGATCTGTGAGTCTACCCCTAAATAAAGAACCCTTTATCATACTCCATTCTGAGCTAATGTGGGACCACTTTATCGTGTTCATCTACAGAAGGAGGTGTTAAGAATTGCAGCATGAGAGTAGCTCTCCGCCTCACGAAGGGAAGGCTGCTGCAGCTTGTGGTTCCTTCAAAGAAACGCATGCACGGCCATCATTGTAAGTCTTCTGGCTCTCAGATGTTTACAGCTGCTTAGCTGTGAGAATCTATTGCACACACCACCAAGTCCTGAAAAAAGAACAGGGTGTCTTCCCTGTTTCTATACTTGGTAATCAATTAATTTAATAATAAGAAGGACCAAAATATTATCAACTAGTTTTCTACTTGGTGAGTGTTTTGTGCTGCCTGTGGACTTTTTTTTTTTTTTAATCTCAGCTATGTTCTGATGATTTTATCCCATTGAGCCTTTGTGAGAATTCATTCGATCATACGTACAAAATGCTTAGCAAAAAAAATCACCTAGTGATTGACAGCCATTACCACTGACTTACTAATATTTGAACTTGGAGAATGATGTCATCTCTGGAGAGGAAAGGGAGTTAGTTTTCAGAGAAAGGCTGGAATTCAGAAGCAAAGTTAATAATTATTATCGAATTTAAGTACACAAAAATCAGTCAGAAAGACAAAAACAAGCATGAGAAAAAATTTTTAGTGAAACTTGCCAAAGATATTGATAAAAGGAATGTGAACTTCATGGGGACTGATTTATGTCCAGCTCAGTTTAACTTACTGTCTTCACATGACATAACTCAATGATAGATCAAGGCATTTTCTGCATTTTGTTTTTCTCCAACTTAGATGCTGTCCCCATACCTTTTGACCACATAAAAGTCCTCGAATTCCCATACCGAAAGTCTACCCTCACCACAACATGTAGTTTTCCCTACGATTTTTGGCCATGTCACAGCAGGCAAGCAATAGTATACCACCTCCAGCCATTCGTCCTACAGCCAGACCCCCGTGGTTTCCAACTATCCCTCTGTGCTTGTAAATTCAGCTTCCTACTCAGCACTGCCCTTCTTCTCTGCTAGGTTCCAGTCTCCTCTTGAACATTTCTTTTCCTCTCCTTATGTTCAGTCCGATTTAGCCCACACTCGCCTCTCTCTGGGCCAGCTCTAAGAGCCCCTTTCCTGGTCCGAGAGGACACCGCTTCTCTCTTACCATGGCCTTCTACACCCTCAAACTCTTATCACATAAATACGTGACTGTCATAACAGCTCCAACCTGTGCTTAAGACTTCGGATAGCTTCTGAGTCCCTGAGGATGAAGAGAGACAAACACGTTAACGTGGCACCTGAGCCTCCTTCGTGTAACTCCCCTGCCTCAGGTCCAGCAGACACCCCATGCCATCTTCTGTGCCTAGCCAATATCTCAGATCTTCCTGTCACTTCTCTCAGGCACATTTCTTGACTTCCTCTCCACATCTGTTTCCCGTCAAAGACTGCCATAACAGCTTACAACTTTCTTGCATAGCCCTGAATGAAATTTCAATTCAATTTCCTTTGACCACTTGATTGATATTTTTCTCTCCTACTGAAATGCAAGTTCCCATAGACAGGAAACCATAACTGTGTGTAGTTTCCTGCTGGCCCCAGTCCAAGCACACTCTTATAAAGGTGTGTATGATGTAGCAATAGCCAATAGTAAGTATTCATAGAATGGATGAAAAATGTCAGATAAGCACCCCATGAATACAGTATATTTACTCCTTTATAAAAAGAAGAAAGAAAAGAATGGAAACAGAAGGAAAAGACCCTGTGGACAAAGGGCATGCAAAACACAGTCTGGCCTGTGAATGAAAATGGTTAGCTCAGAGGATGTGAGAATATAAGATTTTTGCAAAAAAAAAAAAAAAAATGAAGTAAAGTTTCACCTTTAGCTTTAGAGAGTTGAGCTTCTCCTCCCTGAGGTGTTCTCTCAGCATCTCCCGGTGCAGCCGTTCCTGCTCCCTTGCAAACTCGCCCAGGGTGTACTGGCGCACACTGTTGTGACGACTGGACATGCCCAGAGTGCTGCCCCCCTGGCTGGGCACGCTGGTGAAGCCCTGTCTCCTGGTGAAGTAGTACACGGTGACACAGCTGAAATGCACATTCTTTGTCCTCAGCCGTTTCTCTCTTTTGAGGATGGAGGAAGCTGGAAGAGAAAGAAGCGGGTCAGTGAAGCCCAGGGCAGCAGCACCCCTGTGAAACCAACAAAACATCCTGGATCCTGAGGCTGTTGAGGACCAGAATCTTTGGAGCCTTGCCGGCTCAAAAAATACTGAATCCCAGAGTTGGCAAAAGGGCCTTTTGATTTCCTTTCTTACATTCATTTTTTTTTTTCCTAGGCGCGGTAGAGTAGATTTTAAATGTTTCTGTAATGGCTGTTGAAGCAAACTTCTGGAGAGTTGCCAGTTATTTTTGGAATTAACAGCAGAATTTAATTCCTCATTTCCTTGAATCCCTTGAGCTTTGGTTTCCTGGATTTCACACAGGTACTGTTACATTATGATCACAAAAGTCCGAACATGTAACCCTCCATACCTTGGGTTTCATTTTTAAGAATATGTCTTAAATTAAAAAAAAAATCAACTATCAAATAAATGAAAAGAGTACTTATTGTGCAGAAAATAAAGGTGGTTAAAGGGCACGAAAACATTTAATATTTTATAAAGAATAAAAATAAAAGCACTAAAGGGTTCCAAGACAAAGAAATAACAAATACTTATGGAAATGCTATTTATAGTCAATGGATAATTGCATCCTATATAGATACATGTATTGAAAGAGCTGGCTGCGCACTGTGGATATGCACTGTTGTAACATGCCAATAGAAATGCATCGCTCATAACACTGAAAAGATAAACTAATCCAAAGTAATCAAAAGAGCTTATTGACACTGTATAGAGATTTTAACAACTTAAATCTAACATAGCTTTCATTAGGTAAAGTAGTATTCCTCTTTAAATAACATTGCACTAAAATCCAAATACTGAGATAACTAAAAATCCCATGGAATATGTCAGGATCACATTCTCTTCATATTATTTTTTTATTTAACAAAACCTGCATGCTTTCATATACAACATGGATGTTATACCATGGAATTGCCAGATCAAAATAATTAATGTATGCATATCCTTATTTATTTTAATATGTTGATGATTAGAAACCCTATTATTAGCTGTGGAGACAGAGGAATGGACTGAGCCATGAGGAAAATTTGTGCACACACTGAGACTGAGCACAAGAGAGTCATATGCTATCTTCAGGACCTCCCACTGCTGGACGACAGGAATTCTTTTATTCCACAGGAGAAAAGCCAGACTTAGGGAGTCCAAGTGACTCTGTTGAATGTAATTAAACCTAAAAACCCCAAATTTTATGTCATATGATAAGCTGGCTTATGATCTGGAAGGGAAGAACATCACTCAGAGGAAACACATTCATTCTGCTCCAGGTCTGACACCTATGCCCTTTTCCACTCAGATGTGCTGAAGTCCCTTAGAATATAATCTTTTTGGAAACGGGATCCTTACAGATATAGTCAGATGAAAATGAAATCATTAGTTCCCCCAACCCAGCAGGACAGCTACACCTCCAACAGTCAAAGATGCCACCAGAAGTAGGAAAATGCAAGAGAGAACTCTTGCTTGTGAGTTTCAGAGGGGCTGCCACCTAGCCAGCAATTTGACTTCCAGAATCGCGAGAAAAGAGATTTGTGTGGTTCTCAGTCACCCTCTTCACGGGGCATTTTTATGGAAGCTGTGGGAAAGCAGGGATGCTCATGAAGACAGCAGATGGTGAATGAGAAGGCCTGGGACAGCAAGATTACATCGGTGCACATTTACAGGAAGCCTGGTATGATGCTTCTCAAAGTGTAGGTTTATTTCCATAATGAATGCGGACAGAGGGCCTACAATGTGCCAGCACTTTCTAGATAGGATAGATACACCTGTGGACAAACCTGGACGAGGCAACAAAGAGACTCAAAGTTTAGACAGTATGCGAATGGTTTTGCTGTGAAAATTCAACTTTCCTACCTACTCTCTTTTCTTTAAAACAACAACAACAACAAAAAACATTTTATTAATTTTGTGGGGTGGACAGCCGACAGGCTTTTGTCAGGCTGGTGGCAAGCCTCTCGGATTCCTTCCTTCTTTTCTCTTATTTCACCTTCTCAGAGAAAATTTCCAGAAAGCAAATGCCTTCACACGTGTATGTAACTTAAATACTTATTTGTATATTCTTGCAAATTATTTACTGCAACTTCCTTGTATTCCTGGCAGTGGAGACAGTTTGGAACTTTGATTGAAAGATGTTGCTCTGCTTCATAACTCTAAGCTTAAATCATCTCAAAACAGAGAAGACTGTCCGGATGTAAGAGATCCGCACATAAAGCGAAATTCTGTCTCCAGATCAGAAGCCCTCTTCTGTCACTGACTGACAGCAGGTGAAGCAGGACCCTCTGGAGTTGTCATTAAAACAACACCCTTAAGACATTATCCTTGGGAGCCATGATTGTAGCGGCCAGGGGAAGTGTCTAATGTACTCACTGGGGTTATTTCCATAAACACTTCTGACAATTTGTGGCTTATGTGTTTAGAAAACCAGTGGCTCTTTAGACAAATTGTTTTTTAGCATGGCGTTCTTAACCCGTTTGGATGAACCTATTTTGTTACCCTTTCCCCAAGGCTAAATTAACGACCCTGTTTGGAGATGGCTGTGAGACCGGCAATGTGGGAGAGGGCAGCCACTCTCCGGCTGTGATCTGGGTAGGACTAACACCATAAAAATGTGCAGTAGGACCAGTGCTGCCCCCAGCACACAAGGGGTGACAACGCACACCTGTGCTGTTGGTTGCTTTAATATTATAAACAGCCCTGTAAAGACAACGATCGAAAAGCTGAGGATATCAAAGGCTTTGAAAGACTCAGAATTTAGTCTAATGGAGATTTCCGTGGGTTTCTTGAATGTTAGGAGACATCCGGGATTCTCTCCTGATGATTAAATCAGAGCCCCAGCATGGGCCATCAGAGGCATCACTTGCCTCCAGCCTTCACTGTGACACACTTCACAAGGTGGAATCATTAAAAAAGAAAGTATCTGTGTTCTTCAAGCCTGGAAAAAAAGACTAGACTCACTCAGCACACCTCCCTTAGGGAGTCTGCACATCCCTGATAGACCTATATACTCATCTGTGCCCTTTACAGAATGAATGAACACCACTGTGTGTGTCTACCGTGGTCGTGTAAGCTTTACTGCCGTGAGGTCAAGAGCAAGAAAAAGGAAGATGAGAATGTGGCTTTTAATACTGCTTTCAAAAACGGTACTTTTCATATTCCACACCAATTTGAAGCGTCTTTCCGTTTATTTCCTTTTATCCAACCTCAATTGCTACCCCAATACAAAAGCATCAAAGCAAAATGAGGCCACATCTACCTCCCAGGAGACAGATCTTGGGAGCACCAGGGCCTGTGTGACAGAGTGAGAACTCTCAAAACCAAAACAATGAAACCCCAAAGGTTAGAAAATGGTCGAACTCACAACATCAAGCTAAGAATACAGATAAATAACGGAATCTACAATATAAAGGAAGAATTCATAAATGCCGTGAATTGAAAATGTAAACCCAAAACCTAAGAATTAGATCACAATTGACCATGTTTAAAAGAAGCAAATGCCCTGACAAACATTCTGCATTTTCTGACCCCATAAAAAACATGAGTTAAAGCAAACAAACAACAACAACAACAACAACAAACAAGCAGGCATGAGATCATTGGCTAACAGCTATGATCAAAGAGTTGACCTCAGTACAAAAGTAAGCCAGAAAACAAAACATGGTCCATGCTTCCTTTAGATTCGCTCCTTCAGAAACAGGATATGAACCAGACAGAGAAAAAAAGAATACAGAAGAAAACAGAGCCTGGGGGGGAGGGGAGGGTCTGTATATTTTGCATGTGGAGGTGGTCTGTCTGATGTGGGCCCTATTAGGAGAAACTGGCCAAAGGTGGGTGACCTAATGTGGTCGGTCCTGATTTTCTCAGCTTCATCATTTATTCTGGGTTGCCTCTAACCAATGCAGTCTGTTCCCTAATTCAGTCATACTACATTAGTTTTGCTGGTTGATGTCATATATGTTTCTCCTATCATACTATGTATACATAGTGAGCAAAGCCTCTGTCTTCATCTCCTCTACTCCTGGCACCTTGATAATGCATCGTCTCATATAACTGGTTAATAAACTTGTTTTAATAAAGGAATAGATTTTTTTTTAATCACTATGCTATCGTTGCCAGTTACTACAGTCAATGTGGCGGCGTTAGAATGGACAGAAGTTTTTTCATCTAAAACCTTCAAGTCAGCTAGGGGAAAAGAATGTAATAAACATGACACAGCATAATAGATGCACTAAAACATACATGCACACTGTCGAAGTAAAAGGGAGACGGAAGGATAGGATGAAAGGCAGGTGAGATATAAAGCAGAATTATTTACTTGCGTTCCTGAATTCATAATGTCCTAGCAGAGAGTGATGCTCAAGCCAGGGATGGGAGAGCAGTGTGCCAGGAAGGATCTGCACAAATAGGAGGGAGTGGCACCGTGGAAGAGCACTCAGGGCCTTTATGTGCCAATTCCCAGGCCCAGACAATTTATGCCTCACAGTAATGAAAAAGCCTAAGTTATGATTGCTCATTCTAACATCTGTGAGGACTCATGGGGGAAGAAATTAAATGATGATCAAAATAGGAATGAATTGTTTTTTTTTTAAAAATGCTAATTCTGGAAAACAATATTCTAAAAAGGATGATTTAAACAGATGGTCTCAGTAGAGGGGATAAATGAGAGCGTTGAATACTAAACTACTGACAGGGTTCCTGAGAGAGAAAACCAACAGAGAGTTCATGTTTCAAATGAGCTCTATGCAAAACCACACTATAGGAAAGCTAAAGGGTGAGGTGCACAGAGGCCTGGGTCGTCTGCTCTGCTGGCCCCTGTTCCCGCAACCCACACAGCACAGCTGGGAAGCCCAGCGCTACTGTCTTGGGAATTCGTTGTTCTTGTGTAGTCCTAAGAACTCATCTGGAGGCTCTGAGATGGTTCCACACACACTGTTCACAGGAAACAACGCTATCTCTTTAGTGAGTGTGGTCAGAGAGTGAACGCAGCTCTGCAAATGGTGAACCCACTTCTGTTGCACCTTCAGTGCGTCCAGGTA